GGCAGGGAGCAGCTCCCTTGCTTCCAGAGTTCCAGCAAATGCTGATTCCTGCCCAAGATTCCACAAAATGCCTGTGGCTATTTTAAGAACATCATTGTACTTCTGCTGACCTACCTGAAATTTCGTTTGTCATATGCTTTGCTTTCAAAGAAAGGCCAATAATTACTGGTAGTAATAATTAGTGCACTGTGTAGGCAAGAAAGCAAATTGCATAACTTCTCTGAAGCTTCTGCAGGCAAAGGCCTTACAAACCTTTTAAAAGAAAATCCAATTAAATAAGATTCTCAGGGATGCCTCAGCTCCTGACTTGCCTTTAGTCTGATATTTATTCTTCACATAGGACTCCTCCTCTGGCAGTGGAGATTGCTGCCTAGAGAATGAATTAATCTTGGCCAGTTTTTAGCTTTCAGTACCTCTGACATTGTGCATATTTGCTGCACTGTGTAAGACTTCCAGGAAACAAAATCTGGAAACAAATTGCTGATCTGGGAAGTCATGTGAGCCCAGAACTCTCAGGCTCATCGTTTGATGGTAGGAATGCTGCTAGAAGTTTGTCAGTCAGGATGGGTGTAGACATCCCCTGGGCTTTGAGCTGAGCAGCAAGCACAGCTTGGAGGAGGAGGACACCAAACCTTCAGCTCTTTGGCTGTGACTTGCCCTCCCTCCTTTGCCTGCAGAGAGAGGAGATGAAGGCACCTAACTACACAGCTGTGTGATTTTTCTGCCTTTTGGAGCCTTTATGGAGCAGGCTGGCCCCATGCCTCCTTTGGAGGCTAACAAGATGGTATTTTTAACTCTGAGGTGTCACCATCTCTTTCTTTCAGTGGCTGTTCACAGTAGCTATCTCAAATGCAGGAGGTCACTGTCAGCTCCCATTCCCTGCAGGCAGAGCCTCCACTTCTCACTTCCAGTGGGCTTGGAAAACAGAAATACCTGAAACAGCTGGGTTTGTTTTCTGGCTACTTAAAAGTAATTGCTTAATGAATTTTGCCTGACCCTGGGTTTTGTGGCAAGCTCTACTAGACCATCATGCACCTCTTTTTAGGGTTCCCTTGCTGTGTGCAAGGTGCTCTCCTGGCAGTCAAACGTGTATGGCCCCTTTTCTGTCCCAGTTTCCCAGATCCTGGGACAGATACATCAAGTAGAGCTATTTTGATCAGTTTGAATTCCCTTTTTGGAAGCCATCCAAGGCAGTACTCTATACACTTAGTGTTGCATGGCTGAGATTGATTTTTGGTCTTTTCTTCTTTCCATGGACTAATCTATCAATTTCTCTTTTGCCAACTAACTGTACAACAGCTCCTGTAAATCACAGTAGAAGCCTCATGCTCAAGGTGAGGGGAATCTGAAGAAGCCTCTCAAATCTAGTACAAATTTAGCACCAGGTCTTTAGCATCCAGTTGATAGCTAGATAGGGATGTGCCTATGTTTTTGCAGCTTGAATCTTGAAGGCTTCATGTCTCTGACTAACACAGAATGCAGCAAGGCAAACACTAACTGCATGAAACAGCAGCACTTGTTGAACTTCATAACATCAGGAATCAACTTGCTGGTGGAATATTAAAAGTCTGCAGGTTGCACTTTGAAAGCTTCTAGTACAGACTGGAGTGTCTCAGGGAATCACAGGTGGCTTTGTCTGCATTTGCAACAACACCTATCTAAAAGTTGGGGCTTCAGCTAACCTTGGTGAGTAGCATTTACTCTATTTGATAGAAAAGGGACCTGAAGACTAGAATATGCTGAGGTGGTTGACCCTGGAAGGTCAGCTGGCACAGAAAACAAATGCAGAGGACACACGGACCACATGCATGAGGAAACTTTTGCTGGGTGCATTTTTCTTAAGCCAAACCACCTCTTCAGAGGATATTCCCTGTGCTTCACTTGATTGGTTAAGCTCCTCTTCATCGGTTAAAAGTTTAAGGAGCCAGTTAGGTTGATTCTTGCTATTGAAAAATCTAGTTAAACTAAAAGTCAACAGCCACTAGGAACAAGGGCATTTCATGACTGATTTCTCCACCTCCCTTTAAAAGTCAACAGCCACTAGCAACAAGGGTATTTCATGACTGATTTCTCCACCTCCCTCAAAAGAGCTTTTCAAGCTATGTCCTTCCTATTGTTGCAATTATTACAGGAATAGGCAAATGAAATACTAGAAAGTACTAGAAAATATTTGTATAAAAATTCCTCATTGAATGTTCCTACTATGTGCTTAATTATAATTGAGAAGAGTGATGCTCAGAGGTGTAAAATCATCAGTTGATTAGACAGTGAATAAAATCAGTGCCACTGCCTTCTGTCAGCTGAAGCCTCAGCACACCTCAGAGCAACAACAGCATTGCATTAAACAGCAACACAATAAATTCAAGGTGCCAGGAAAGTAAATAGCTCACCCAAAGTCAGGCAGGGAATCAGTAAGACACCTATTAGCAGAAATTAATGGAATTGCTTGCTGCTCACATTTGTTACCCAGGAGGAAGGCTGAGCCAGTCCTGCTGATGGTACATGCTGATAGTTTGGGGTGGGATTTTTCCCAGCAGCAAATGTTTTGGGTAACTTGAGCAAATGCTGCTGATAAATTTGAGTGAGCTTGAAACTTCAAGACTTTATATCTAAACTCATAGGTGCACCAGTGCAGTCATAATGCTGCTCCCTGAACATGCTTGACAAGGTCTTAACTCAATCTTGGTAGAACATCTTGCCACAATGTGATAGTGAGATTAGTAGTTTAGAGATGAAGCTCTCCCCATTAGGTGAGGCAATCCATGAATAAGCTCCCAAGACTTAATGCCCCTAGTATTGCTGATTGTGTCACCTAATTTGCTCTTCCAGTAACTCACTTCCTGCTCATCTCACTCTGACCCGGGACTGGCTGCAGTGTTTTCCTCACGGTGCTGTTCAGGAAATTCATCCATGGTGCTGTTTCTTCCCTTTGAGCTTTTCCCTCCCTGCCAGAAGCTCGTTTCTTGCCAGGCAGGGAGTTATGGCAAACTCCTCTGGCCTGTTTGTCTTTCAGAGGCTCTAGCAGCAGCAGCTCCTGTCCCCAGGCCTTGCAGCCATAGCCACACACCTTTGGGTGCAAAGCAAATGCAAAGTGCTCTGCATTTCCTGTTAATTAGTAGCATTAAAGAATGATTAGAAATAGGGTATTAGGATTTTCTTTCTTAGCTGTTCCAGCAGCACATCATCAGGTACCTGAATCTCAGAGAAGTGTAGGATTAGAAACTGTAAAACATGGACAGCAAGGCAGGACCTTTCTGTGGCCAAGACTCACGAGGGGCAAAGCTTTGGGAAGCACTACCCTGCCATGAAGAAGAGCAGAACAGCTTTGAAGTGAGGTAAAGGTTTATTTGACTATAACTGATGGCTGTGTTTTCAAGAACACTCAGTGTACTGCTGCCATCAGAATTCCCGAAGCCAGGAGCAACTTTTCTCACCAAAACCACAGCTTACGGGTATTTTTAGCAGAAGTAACAGGCACAAAAAATAGGAGACAAAACTGAGCCTGATGCTAGTAAGATGTTTTAGAGAACTGAAAAAAAACCAACCTCTCTCCTTTAATCTGACCCAAAGTCTAATTTTGATCTAAATATCTCCACCTGGGACTGGGAGCAAAAGACAAAGCAAATGGTGTTGTGAGGAAGGGAAGTATGTGGAAGGCAGCAGCAACCTAGAAGCATGTAGGTGCCTTCACCACAGCAGCTCTCTCTAGAAAGTTTGATTCCTTGTAGATAAACTGGTCCCAGATGAGCTTGAGACAAGATGAACTACTATATCTGTAACAAAGAAATTTAAAAATACCCAAAAAAATTCCATGCACATGGTTCAAAAAGTTTATTGAATATTTAATTTACAAAAATCATATCCCTATGAGGTGTTCTATGCAAAATTGGATAAAATAAACTGCATATAAAACCCAACCCTAGTAATGCAAATACAACACAGAAATGAGACCATGGAAAGGAGAAAAAGAAAATACCATGACACACATATGACATTCATTAAGGATTGTCCCAACCATCCAAGAACTGGTTCAACATGATGCCTTCTTCCTTGAGACATTTTGCCATTTTATCCAGGTCTTCTGTATACCATTGGTCCAAATTTACAGTTTCTATAAACTCTTTAAATTCTTTCTGAACTGCTACACCAGTTTTGCCATTTTTCACTTTGATCAGAAGGTGGAAACAGACAGTACATACATTGAACATGTGCACTATTAGATGCAACTTGCTATCTTTGGTAGGGACCCTAAATCTGCAGTGGTCAGCATTCTAGAATGACAAGAATTTCAGTTTTGGCAAAAAAAAACCCCAAACAGATTTAATTTTGTTGTTTAGTAAAACAGTTTCTGTTGAACATACAAAAAAAAAGTATAGTTGTCTCTCATATGGTTTAAAAATGGAGTGGGTTTTAAATCTAATTGCTTGTATTACCATTCCTTGACTCAAATATGTTTGCACAAAATGTCACTACTGCACAGCAGAACATTCCTTGTATGAACATGGATGCATTGCACACAGAACACAACTGCAAACCCATCCTGCCTTTTCTTCTCCCGTTCAAAGCAATGAGAATATTCCTGCAGGTATGCACATGGATTTGGATATGTTTCCTTTTGAACAAGCAGGAATCTTGCTGAGTGACTTAACACTTGTAGAGTAACTTTTCCTGGGAAAGAGGAGGGTGAAACAAACACAAAAAGTAAAGAAATTTAGGACAGTCAGTGCCAGAGAGTTTGCAGCCCTCCTCTGGGATAACATGAGCAGGAGGAACAGGATCAAGAAAAACTAATAAAAAAAAGAGGAAAAAAAAAAAAATCAATGCAAGAGCCAAGGAACTTCACTTTGAAAGAGAAGGAAAAAGTACCAGACTGTTTCCTTCACAGCATTAGTATTCCATAAATATTGGACAGTATTTGATTAACTGCCATTAGCTGCAACTTTCAAGCATTCTCTTTTTTTTCAAGCACTATCTGGAATAGAAAAGAAAAACACTATGCACCTCCCCAGTCCTCCCCACTCCCCTTTAGTGGGAATGCAAACAACCTGCATAGCCATGATTTTCTTAGCTGAGAACACTTAGTGGAAGACTAACTAGACTTAAACACTTCAGTAAATCTGCTCACTTATGAGTAAAACATGCAATATTACAACAGACAGCTAACTGTCCTCGAGAAGGCTTTTAATGACAATCGCTAATTTGGCAGAGAAGAAACATTTCCAAATGCATGAAAAATAATTTTAAGAGCCTTAGTGACCAACGTAGTAGTTACAATATATTAGCGATTTCTGTGGCATAAACATTTTAAAAAGCATCAGCAAAGTATTAAATATAAAAGCAATATGTATATACCCCTCCATCCTCAGAAAAGCATCATGATTTGTGGTGTGTAAGTCATGTTTATTGACTGGGGAATTAAGGCATATCCAGGAGACAACAGTCTTTACTGTCTCAGCTCCACGTAATTCGCGGGGAACAGGCCGTACCGGCCCTTGCAGACACCTCTCCACCAGCCATCGTCGATCATTTCGATGTTGGTGATGATATCATCTGGGTCAAAGGAAATCTCATCATCACCAGCTGCAGAGAGAGTTGGAGAGCCTCAGTTTCTACACAGGATTGACCAGTCAAGGCTTCAAACAACTCTGTACGCCAAAGGTTTAATGGGAGTGTTAACCCCTGGTTAAAGAAGAATTTGTAAACTCCCACCACGGCCAGAAACAGCACCTAGTAGTTTCTAGAAGTGTCTCAATGCTGTTGTTAACTCACTAAATTCCTAATTCTTCATATATTCATTTCATATACCACTACAAGAGGCTAAAAGATAAAAGGCAAAGGAAAAATCCAGAGTTAATCTGTGCAGAACAGTTTTCAAAGACAGGGTTAAAAACAAGAGCTTTGCTTACCAGCTTGATAATCATAAAGGGCTATGGCTGTAATTCCAAGTTCATTTTCATATTCATCATAAGCATTTTCTTCTAAAGAGAGAGAAGAGAAAACTTAAAAGCATGAAGCAAACTACCTATCACCCTAAACTCTATTCTACAGTGCTTCTCCTTTGATTCCACTGTGAACCTGCAGAGGAGCAACGTTCAAACTGTGCAAGGTCTTAGCAGTGCTGACATTCCTTCTGGATGGACTTTTTCCCTAAATCACACACAATTAAACCTGAAGAATTCATAACAGACATTTAATACAGTATAAAACAAAACCAATCAGCCTTATAGCACTTCTGTAAAATGGGACAGAACAACTGAGCACAAGATCACTGTGTAAAAGAATATTCAGTCCAAGTTTCATACAAGTTGTGCATGTTGAGGTAGGGGAGAAATGGGCCTGTTTAAAATTCCCAAGTTTTCATATCTGAGCAGGTTTATACTTCACACCTCATTTAGAGGTGAGAAAAAAACCCAGGAAATCTTATTCTCACAGTTTCATTAGTTTCATAAATTCCTACCCCACTCCCTCACAGGCACAGAACACATCACAGCAACTTCAAACTACAAGAAGTGTCAACAGAATTGTTTGCTTGGTAAATCAGCAGTGGCTCAACATACATTTAATCTCCATCTCTGTGCTTTCTTCTCAAAAGAGATGCATTCCATAGGGTGGGAATGGTTACCCCTACATTTCTTGTTAACTGAGACCCCACTGTAATTACTCCAACATCATCTCACAAAAGTTAAGTAATTTCAACCTTGCTCTAGCCACATCTTCATTTCCTAATTAAAGTTTGTTGGTGGAGAACCTGGAAATCTCATCAGGCTAAGACTTTAGAAAAGTAGGGCAGTGTGCTATCAGCACAGCTACTCATCAACTTATTGCACAGGGAAATAATCTTTACCTTAATGGTTTTCATATCAGAAACAACACTGTACCTGCTTGGTAATGGTCTCCTGCCCCTGCCACTTCGTAGACAGTCTCTGGTTCATACTCTGCCTCTTGCTGACTCACTGCTTCTTGGTAGTCTGACTCTGCAGCTTTGTAGCCAGACTCAGGCTCACGTGCAGCTGAGTATGCTGAGCTGGAATTCTTGTAGGCAGATCCTGCTTCGTAAGAAACCGCATCCTGCAGAAACGCAGGTGAGGTTCATGAGGGTTTTGTCAAAAGGTTCCCACACTTAGGACCAAAAAACAGGCCCTGAAAGTGATTCCAACAAACCTGATAGACTGGGCTGGAGGGTGCCTTCTGCTCAGCTGCCTGTGTGACTGGAGATGGTGGTGGAGTCTGTTTCTTGGCTTTAGCTTGATCCTAAATCCAGGAGAAAGATAAACATCAGTGTGGTTTCATCACTAATGTGATGGCACTGAACAAGAAACAATCCTGCAACAAACTGCTGTGAGCAGGAGAGGACTAGACTGGCTGGATCGTTAGACCTGCTGAAGCTTGAGACTGCACAGAGCATCAGAAATACAGCAAAGCAGAGAAAAAAGTGAAGAAACAAAACCCCCACAGTACATATGCATGCATGTGTTTAAAAACAGAGTACCCTGTGCTCTTTGGCACATTTCCACAGGAGCTGCAGGGTTTGGTGTTCAGCGTATCCATTCTGTTCATCAGCTGCCTGGGCCTCGTGTCCCATTTTAGCCTAAGTTTACAGAACCTGAAGCCCACACATTTTAACTGTACAACTGATACATATATTAACTTCGATGAGAAATGATCCTGCAAATTCTTGCAGGTCTGCAAGACACCTGCCAAGGCAAAAGACTGAATAGCTCAGACAAAAGTAGGTCCTATGTACTGACAGTGAGGGATTCAAACATTCAGAAGAGTTCAACATGGTAGAAATAAAAGCTGTGCTGCTGTTGTATTCTGCAACACAAAGAACACAGGTCTGAATCAAGTGTTCTGGCACTCAAACACCTCATGCTGTGCCATCCCACCTGTGAATCAGAGGGCAAATCCACAATCATTAGGAAGCCATTCATTAGGGAGCCAGGACACCAGAGTGCAAGAAATGCTGTGCTGCTTACATGAATTCAAAAAGAATGTCAGGTAACTATTTCATTTTGCCTCTCTTTACCATGGGGGAAAGGAAAACTGAATCTAGGGCCAAGCTGTATCCTTTATTGTAAAGAAAGAAGAGAGGATATGTGTTATGGGAGTCTGTGCACTGCAGTATTGTAGGTCCATCAAGCCTAACTCGCCAAAGGATTCTCAGGAGAAATTGTAGTCCAGAGATGAAGAGGCAGGACTTGGTTTCAAAAAAATTCTTCCTTCCCTTTGTTTGTCACAGCTCAGAAAAACATCTAACAAAGAAAGCAAAGTGTGTCTTGAGAGCAGAGACAGCTTTGAAGACAATTCAAAGCTTAGTGCTGTCCTTTCTGGAAAAAACCTGTCCTAATACAAACCCTCCTGCTCTTCTAACTCCTGTACTACAGATTAAAAAGCACCAGCAAAGTGATTATTAAAAGTCAAACCCAAGTTTGGGGGCAAATTAAGTAGTATCAATCCATTAATGATGTCAAACATGGCAACAGTTTGACTAATTTGTCCTAGGAAATGGATCTCTGCAATCCAGACTGCAGTTTAGCATAGACACACCATAACTGCCATAAAACACTTCAATTTTTGCATGGTCCCCCCTCAGACTGGGTTTTGCTCCACAGGGAAATGCTCCCTGTGAAAAAGCATCCTGCCTTGTTCTCCAAGGCAGCAGAGGCTAGTGAAGCCATGAGGCTCACTCAAGCCATGAGCCATCGACTCAAATCAGCCATTAAAGAAGATCTCCCTGAGCACCATTTGACTATGTGACATATGTGAAAAGCAAACCAGAAAAAGGATTACCAGTAAACAGGGCTGTCAGAGGAATGAATGCAGTCCATATGCACATTCCCATTGTGGGAGTACATATGCCCACATACTTGCTTAAAGTGAGACTTTCTTCCTTTTGTGTGAAGAAGTTCACTTAAAGAAGTAAAGTTCACTCAAGTCAAAGTCCATCTGCACTCTCTACAGTATCTGTGGATGGGGTGGGTCATGTCCCTGCCTTCTCCATGCTCAGCTTTGGAGCACAGGGCAGAACCAGCAGTGCCACTGCAGCTCCTCTTAACCTCATCCCCTTCTGTGTCTCTGCAGAATCACTCAATTAACCATGGAGACGTTCAGGCTGTAAGAACATTAATCATCTGGTTACGGGGAAATTTAAATACCAGCTTTGGGGAAAAATCTTCAAATGTGTCCAGGCAACAGAATCTTTGATGAAGCACAAGAAAAATCAAGCATAATGGCTTGAATTTAACCCACACTTACAGCAAAAATACCAGTAGAGAACTAATGTAATTTCTGAGACAGAAAGGGAGGAAAAAAAAAAAAAAAGACATAGCAGTTCAATGACTCACAACAACCTGTGTTACTACATTTAAATCCTTCTGGAGAACTGTTTCCTCAGCAGGAGGAAACCTCAATGAAGAGTTGAAATGGGTAAGAAAAGCCTAAATTCCCCACCCTCCATCCACAGATCTTATTTATGAGCACATGATCACCCAAAATGAATGGCAAGAGAGCTAATGGACCAGGTGAACTTCTTCCCCTATTGAGCCCAGACTACAAACCCATGCAATGGAAGGGAATACTAAGCAGATAGTTTGACTGCTTTGGGAAGATATATATGATCTCACTGCTTAAAAATATGGCTCCAACTGGGTTGTAACAGGAATAGCCTAATGGAGAGCCATTCAGCATCTGCAGCAGGTTGTGGACTCTCCCTCCCTGGAAGTGTTCCAGGCCAGGTTGGATGGGGCCCTGAGCAACCTGATCTAGTGGAAGGTGTCCCTGCCCATGGCAGTGGGATTGGAACTAGATGATCTTTAAGGTCCCTCCCAACCCAACCCATTCTATGATCTCTTCTTCTCCCAGTTTTCTCCAGCACAGTAAAGAAACACAAATAGTGCTTGGGGGACGCTATGGGGGACGCTATTAAACATCCACATGGATGAATAATGCACAAAGATGAACTCCCATTCAACTCCTGATACAGGTACACAGTGAACATATGCTCATACTGTACATCTTGATGCCATAAGGCAAAAATAAGTGATAAGCTTAGTTACATCAAGCCTTTCTGAATGAATTAGACCACACTGATGGAATGGGATCAGCACTACACACCCTGACATCCTGTAGCAGCACCCAGATAAGGGGAAGTATCTACCACATCTGAGAGACCAGCTACTGGGTCTGCCCTCTTTGTTGTAAGCCAAAGGACCTCTGAGATCTGAGAAACCATCTGACAGTCTTTCCTGGATTCCAGATGTCTCACAGAGGATGTTGAGACAAGTTCATATGCAAAAGGATTTGTTAGTGGGGCTGCAGCTGCTGGTATACATTGGCTCTAACAATGAATGATACTTCTGGCAGAAAATAAAAACAAAAGAGAGGAAAGAGCAGGAAGTAGGAACACTCCCCTACAGCCAGACAGGAAACCCAGTGATGAGAGTCCCAGACACATATTCCCCTCTGGGAGGGTTCCTTCAGTGTAGCAAGTAGCAATGATGAAGATGGTGAGGAAGACAATTTTTCCTGTGCATCTCCCTGAGTACTGTGTCCTTCAGGACCAGCTCAGTCTCCCTACTGGTTATTCCTGCTTGGGACACTACCAGCAGTAGTTGGAGCATCTGTTTGGGCATCAGTGTTATGTATTGGCTGTGAAGCCTCAGTGCACATGTAGGGCCAAAGAGCATTTATTCAGACTTTAAAAGACTGTCTCTTTTTGTGTACTATGCTTAGTCTTCTCTAGTATAAGCTACTATCTGTAAAACAAGAAGTGAAAGGGAAAAGAGGGACTAGTCTTATATCTGTAAAGCAAAAGAGGAACTATTCTTACTCCAGCACCAATTGCTTCCCACTCCCTGCCATAAATCAGGGTTTACAAGTATGAGGTCAGGCAATCAGAATACCAGCATGGAACCACAAGGGAACTGCCACAGAGGCTCTGGGCAAACCCTGCTGCAGCAGCTTGCATGGAAGGTCAGGCAGCTGCAGCCTGGCCCTGCTGGCCTGGGTGATAAGGTACCCCAGGCATTGTGTGACAACACAAATGAACAAGACACAAAGGACAAGTTACTATTAATGCACAAGTCCTTCCATCTCAGCAGCAGAGTTTCACCAAATGCACAGATTCTATAAAGCAGATAAGATGTAGTGTCTGACTAAACATTTCCTGGAATTATTTTGCTTATGAATAACACAAAAATCACAAAGCTTTAAATTATGCCAATGCTAAGTCAATTTCTTTTAATTCCCAAACTAAGGTTCAATTAACATTTGGAAGATTATCTTCCACTAATCTCCTGGCTGTGTGCTATACCCACGAGTGACAACACCTCCATCTTCCACAGTACTGATTCCAAACAACCAGCATCACCAGCTACACTGTGGTATTAAACCTCTTGAACAAGCATTCACACAGGGCCTTTGGGGGACCACAGAGCTCTCCCCTTATGAGCTCCTCTGTGCCCAAGGGAATCTGGTGCTACCAAAAGGCATTAGTACAGGAGGAAAGGGTCAGGCTGCAAACAAAGTATCTTTCCTTAAAGACTCCCTTTTTCTCCCAACATTGCATTGAAACACACTAGACACACTGCTCAGATGGGATTTGAATCTTACTGACCTCCAGCTGTTTCCTTCGAGCCTCCTCCTGTTCTTCTTTCTCCCGGGCCATTCTCTGTGCTCTCTCAGCTTCTGCCTTCCTTCGGTCTTCCTGCTCCCTTTCCTTGGCTAGGTTTTCAAAGTTAGCTCGGATGCTGCTTGTTTTATTAGCAACTGTAACACGAAAAAGAATTTAAGCCAAATAATATTGTTTCAGGTTCTGTATAAAGGTAAACAGGAATGAGGTTTTGGCACAAATTTCTGCTAGGACCAATTCTGCTTTTCTGCCCTCTAAATTCATAGTCCATTCAGGAAAGTCCTTCTATCCTTCTTTCTCCCTCTCCTCTTCCAAGCCCAAACCTCTAATGCACCACATTTCTCTTACAGAAAAACCTCTGCAACACTTCTCCCTCCTCTCCTTCATAGTACAGTCTCCACCATTCCTCTACTCAGTCTGTTCTCCACTCTGATGCTTTTTATTCTCCCTTCCTCAACTCTGATAACTCTCAAGAGAAAAAACCCAAACAAACCACAAACAACCTCCAAATGGAGTAGAGTAGAAGTAGTCAAGGTTGCTAGAGACCTGCAAATGCAGCAGTTCCCTCTAGATGATTCTTACTCAGCATTACATCAAGTCATCTCCTGACTTTTGGACATTATCCCCTCCAAAGAAAGGATTTGGGGCCAATGCCTTACCAGCTTCTATTGGCTTGGTCTTCTGGTATGTTGATGTTGGTTTCTCAATGTCTTCAAAAGTTGCTGCATTCTATCAGTGAGCAGAAGAAGAATACACTTAAAAAACACAAATTCAGGAAGACATTCAGACAGCCTAAATCTATGACATTTTATTGTGATACTGTCCCTAAGGCATTTTTCAGATCATCAAAACAAAATCAAGAAGAATCGAAACTAGACAAATAGAATAATCCTTCCTGTAAGTCAAACTATGAAAGAATAAATCTTTAGGGGCAGGTTTAAACACATCAAAATACTATTAATTAAAAAACCAAGTAGTTTATGAATAGATGACTCATCAGAATTAAGAATGAGGCAATGTCCTAAACATGTAATGTGAAGCTGTTGCTGTTCTAATCCACATTATGTAGGATTTCTACCCAGGGAAAAGCATCCAGTTCCCCTAAAGCAGCAGATATTGTTGAAACTGAGAGAGTATTTTGAAAACAATATTCAAAATATGACTTTTTTTAAAGAAATGGTCTCGAGTCCTGAAACCTCAAGTTAAAAAAAATCCTACAAATTTTCAAACTCTACTACTTTCTTACTTTTAAATGTCCTACACAAAGCTGAGAGTAAATTTATTTAGCAAATAAATCTCAGTGAGGAATTTTTAATCTTCTATTTTCTCTAAATTTAAAAAAAGACAGGTGGAAAAGGAGTTATCAGCTGCCCTATCTTCCATTGTTCTAGAATGCTAAAACAATTCTCCTAAGGAGAAGGTCCCTCATAATCAAAGTGGGCAAAGCTGGTAGATATCAGACACCTATTTTAAGCATCCTACTGAAAGCATATCCTCAAGATATAAGAAATTAGCTAGTTGTTAGAAGACATGGTTGAAATCGTGGATTTTGTGGATTTTTGCAATTTTTATTTTTCATTTTGCTGCTCTTTCATTTCCCTACTTCAGGCTCCCCTACTGAAACAGATACACACAGAGATGGACACACATACAGGTGTGTATGAACTGGCATCAGCTATCTAAACTTGCTTTTGAAAGACTTAGAAAAGGACAGAACTCTACTGTGAGACTGGAAAAGTATCCAGAAATACAGAGCTGAACACTACAGATCTAACCAGACTATATTGCATCCCCACAGACCATTTAAGTAATGGCTCTTTTAAGCAACTTACCTTATCCATCCGATCCTTCTGTACACCATACTTCCCACCAAATCCTTTGGAATAATCTAAAAGCAGGAGAAAGAGGTTAAAGCAGGGAGTTTGTTGTCCCTCCCACCTTTCTGCCAAACGCAAACAGCCAACTCAAATGCAAAGAGCCATTTCAGCTGCATGCAGAGACATACTGACAGCCACCAGAGGAAATGCAACTTGGTTTTGATGCAGAAAGGATACAGAACTGCAAGAGCCTCCAGGCACACCAGCAGATGACAGATTGTGGGCCACATGCATTGTCTGAGTAAACATGAAGTTGAGGACTGAGAAGGTATCAAGCACAGCAATAAGCAATGAGCCCTTCTAATGCAACACTTCTGTAACACAGCCTTTCACAGCACCAATTCTTAGCCCTCTGCAGGAATCATAGAGCCTAAGCCATTTTGCTTTGCTCAAAGGAGCGAGATCAAGTCTTTGGTGACCACAGAGGTGTGGGTTTTTTTTGTCTTTAACTTGGTAAATTCTATGAATGGCAGGAAAACATAAATTTCTCATTTCAGTGGATTTGGTTGCGATACTCAACTGAATAACATTAAAGTCATTGGTAATAACTGCTGCTCTACTCATGGAAAGGGGCAATTCCACAAGACAGCATGAGCCTGCAGCAACTCACCACCTCAGAAAAGGGGTGGCCAGGCTATTCTGTCCCACCCCTGAGCTGCACACTCTTCCTCTCACCTGATGCTGACTCTGGCAGTCGCTATACTCCCAAATCAGATCAACTCACTAGCTGCATTAACAATATAAACAATAAACCAACCCTGAAAAGAGTAGTTTTCTGCTCTTTCCAGTGAGAAACATCTGACAAGCACCAGAGCAGCACAACAGCAGCAGCAAGAGTGTGTGGCTGGAGAAACACCTCTTTCTGGTGGCAGTGAGCTGTAGGAATGTGCATTTAGACTCTGTACATGGACAGGCTTTTCTACACATCCCTGGAATACAATTACAATGACTCCTTCTCCTCTCATCCCCCAAACCACTCAGGTCTCCTAGCAAGCTGTTTCAGTGTTTGTACTCAGGCTCTGCTAAGGCACATCTGATACTCTAAAAGTTTGAATTTGTGTCATTGTAGCAGAGAAAACTACCAACTCTCAGAGTGAACAACCTAATTTTCTTCAGCTTTGTATGTATTTTCAGCCAGAATAAATATACTACACTTACATTTTCCTGATCCAGACTTCTCACTTTAAGATAACGGAAAACCAGGAATTCATGGTTTGTACCCCAACTATTTCACAATGAATAAAGAGAGCATTATAACAGTATTTGCTCATCCAAGAACCACAAACATTCCCTACATCTTGTTTTAAAGACTACAATCATTTTTAAATGATCTTGCCAGAATTCATTGCTTGTCAAATGGTTACATGCATGGTCCTTATCTGAATATTGTTCTACCAATTTATCAGGGCAAAACTTTATATTCAGACTAAAACCTTCTATTTAGACTCTAAAGCACGATGTCATTAACATCATACTGACAATAATGTTGTTGTTATCACACTGCATGTACAGCTATTAACTAAATGCATGATTTTGTAGAGCTGTTAACTAAACATTGGATATGTTTCCTGGACACAGATTTGCTTTATGTAAGGTTTTAAGAATAAAAGGGAAGAACAGAAGCGCAAGAAAGTGTCTGCACATTCCTAGCATTGATCTGCTCAGACAACTATTTCAGACTGTGTGAGAAGTGGCTGCACTGTTAAGAGAGTAACAAGTGAAAACGGTGCCTTGTTGAGATTCATGCTTGGCTAGTTTCTCCTTGTAATCAAACCCCACAGCAGATGGGTCCTGCCTTTCTCTCTGTACACCAAATTTCCCTCCGAAACCACTCTTATAGTCTGAAAAAGCCACATGTAATAAATTAATGTGAAGGGAGGAAAATAAAGAAGTTTAGTCAAGAGACACTCAAAATAATTTTTGCAATATTTTCAATTATCAATAATTTGGGATGGTGGAAAAAAAAAACCTTCTAGACATTTTTGTAAGAATAAATTCAAAAAAGGTTTCAGCTTGAGCTTAGGAAGAGGTGACATGATTTATTTACCAGATTTAAGAACACCATTCTGGAGCCACAGAAAAAAGCATTTCTCAACATTTTTCATTCATACTGCATAATGCACTTGCATTTGATCAACATTATGAACACAGACACACAGGTAATATGTTCACCAAAACAACAAAATATATAAGAGAATAAAGAAAACAAATTTTAAAAGACCCAAGAGAATAAAATGAACTCCCTTCATCACTGTGGTTAACATTTATATAGATCTGACTTCTGCAGAGGTGTGAAGATGAGGTCCACTGAGATTACCCTCCAGATATTCCTCCACAGCACTGCTTAAAGGAAGGAGGAATATGCCAAAAATACTAAAGCTCTCAGCTAAGAGCTACGACCATTCCCTACTGCTACCTAAGGAACAGCCATTTCCATAGATACACGCTATAAAATGAGGGAGGGCCCAGTAAAAAAAACCTTCAGGTAATCCTCTCACACCAAATCTGTTGGAGCACCCAACAGGATAATATTCTGAGGATCACTTTTAATTTTTTTAAATAAAGAGTGGTGACAGGCAGAGGGCTGAGGGGCAAGGATTATATTTTACAACTTTTCTTCTGGGTTCCAGTATTTTACTGGACTAGGTACCTCAGAGGCTGCGACAAAGGACAGCGTGAGATATTGGGTTTCCCCTGCATGAGAACAGGAATATTAACAGAAACCAGAAGAGAAACATTATTTGTGGAAAGGACAAATAAATTGCTAATCTGTGGTTTGCACAACACAACTGAAAAGGGCCCAAATATCCCAGGCTACTTGCAAGCTCATAAAGCTTCTGCAGTGAGAACTTAGCATTACGTCTGAACTTGCAGGGACTTGGTATCAGGTGTGTTAAACCTGCTTTGCAGACACCACTACAACTAATACAATCACTCAAACACAAAAAGGACACTAATGTTAGCTACTGTAAGGCTGTGGCCAAAGACACCAGGGGAGGAGGGTTCACACAGGGAAGAGGAAAGTCAAAACAAGGGAAGTCAGAAAGAATTGTGAGCTGATGTACCTTTCTGTGACTCATGCAGCTGCACTTTCTCCTGGTGATCCCAGCCAAGAGCACATTTGTCTTGTCTGTCTGTCTGCACACCAAACTTGCCTCCAAAGCCCTTTACATAATCTGTGTGCAGGAAGTTTCAGAAAACATTAGTGCAATTTATGACTGTAAACAGCATTTAATAAAAAAAAAAAAAAGCCAAAACAAACAGAAACATGTTCTGGGACAAGCTGCCCTGTTGTTAATGAAAACATCTTCAATGATAACATCTTTCACTCTTTTTTTCTCCCTGCTACACTACCTCAGTGGAGAGGAAGGATACACAGGCAGTAACTCCAGGATCATGATGCAAGGCAGCACCACAAACCCAGTCAAGGTTACAGCACACAGACTCAATAATACCTAAAGATTCAAAGAATCTGATGTATTTTCCACCTAATGCTATAACACACACTTAAATATGCACAATGTGGAGACAGAAAGAACAAGGGTTTGGTACTGCCTCTGAGTACCACAGATCTGTGCAATTACACATCTAGTTCAATACTTATTTAAGATCCCTCGGATATCAGATTGTGAAAATCAGGGAGAGTTTACCTTCCTTTTCATTTAAGGGAATCCAAAATCTGCACACACAAGGGACATACAGACATTTACCACTAAACCCCCCGAAAAACCCACCCAAAACACCCACAAATAAACTATTTTTACCAGGTTTAAAAGGATTGGAACTGCTATTTTAAATAAGACAATAAAAACCTTTCTGTGATTCATGTTTTTCCGTTTTGCCTTGATATTCAAAGCCAACAGCACTTTTATCCACTTTGTCCTTGTCGACACCATATTTACCACCAAAGCCCTTGGAATAATCTAGAGATAAGAATGAAGAATTTTGTTTGTAAGTGCTCAATAACAAAAACATTACCTTGAAAAATTGTGATAATCAGAGCTGCTAACATTAAATCATGTATTAAAAAAAGCAGCATTGACACCATCAGTTAAACTTGATTTCAGACACTGAAGTCATAAATCCTCCAGATACATTCTCCAGGATGGAAAATACAATGGCCTCATGCACAGTTCAACTGCTGGGCAATATCAGCAATTCAGCTACGTGACTCTGATAACATTCCTAAGACACTTCTAGCAAAGTGAACTTCAAAAACCATGTCATCAACTGCCTGGATGCTTTTAAACAAACACCCCCTTCTCACTAGCATTTCTACAGTGCAAACATTGCTTTGAGATAAACAGAAAACAGATGGCAAAAGATGTCACAATTTTTCGATGAAATGGTTGGGTTTTGATCAGATATGCCTGGAAACCTGATTAGCAACACAGTATTAACTCTGAACACTGCAAACTGATGACTGCTTTCATCTACAAACAGATGATTTGTTTAGAAGCACTTCTGTGTGGTAGTTAAACTGCTTACAGACTCGGTGCTTTCACCTACAGCTTTGCAAAAGAAGTTGTAAAAAACCTCCAGACAAAGCTCCGTGCCCTGGCTCCAAAGTAACGTTGGATCATCACTTAAAACCAGGCAGAACCTATGTTTTAGGTGTCTTTTTCATAAGACAAAGTTTTCAGCAACATAAATCTTCCTCAGTGTTAACTTTCAGCGGGTTAGGAGTGCAACAGATGTACAACATGAGGACTTTACAACATGGCCCATGGACATCAGAGTATGAGCCCACTAACACATTGTGTCTATTCACCCTTCTGTGAGTCGTGTTTCTCAGTTTTCCCCTGGTAATCAAACCCCACTGCACTCTTGTCCACTCTGTCAGCCTGTACTCCGTATTTTCCACCAAAACCACTTGAGTAGTCTGCATTGAGAGTAAAGCACAACAAGAACAAAGTGAAGACACTTTTCATGGAAACATCATATCCTAACAACTGAGGGGAGAAAAAAAGTTATTTCAGAATTGAAATAATTAACTCTTTTGCACACAAAATTAAGCTTAATTTTAAACACAGAAAATAAGATGAACAACAGTTCTCCAGTTTATCATGGTGCCTGTTAAATTTACTCCTGATTTGCAACAGAGTACAATACAGCAGAGAACAACTCCCAGTCTAAGATGTCCTTGAACCTCACTTCCAAGAGAAAAATAAGACTCTCAATGATACATTATTTCCTCAAGACCTCATCAGCTCATGAAATTCTTCTGAAATTCATTTTTTCATCTTCTCTTCCACCAAACCCAACATTTGATTCATTAAGAATGTCATGTGGAGTTCTCACTAAATGAGGCCTTTCACACACAGTGAAAGAACAAAGATCTACTCTATCATTTATAAAAAAATGTGTCTGCAGAGGTGACCACCTCCCCACTTTACCTTTTTGGGAGGGATGCTTCTCAGTTTTCCCCTGATATTCAAACCCAACAGCTGACTGGAAGAGAAATAAAATTGCATGTGTGACAGAGTTAGATATTAAGGAGAAAAACTGCATGCACTTCAGTGGACAAAGAGCATGCAAAGTGCCTGTGTCTGTCCATACTGCTCTGCCCCTCTGGATTGGGAGCATAAATACCTACTTAACTTACAGGCCATATTCATTTGCCTGGTGATTTAGTACATGTGTTTATGGCAAGGATTTTTGTCCTTCCATGCCAAAGCAAGTTGTACCAGCTATATATTCTAGTCTTGCCAGGTTCAGTAAAACAGAAATTCAGCATTTCCATGCAGGGGTTGTTACAGAGTCTTGGAACAGGATGTCAATTATCCTGCCCAGTAGCTCATGTTGTGACACAGGGCAAACCACCCCCAAATCCCTCCTTCTATAGCACTCACACTGACTTTGTCAAAGAACACAAAAAAAGTAATATATTAACATTTCTTTTCAGTTTTCTTTTCAACTCATTCTATTTCCCACAAGGGCCATTTTCTACTTTGCTCTAAACAGTAATTTATCTCCGTAACAGTCAGTTTAGTTTGCTGCTAAGCTTCAAAAACAGCAGGAAGAGCAGACCACAGCAGCATTTTAAGGCACTGGAATTCTGCAGTTGTACGTACAAAAGGAGAAACTCAAGTACTGTGAGTAGCTGCAGATGAAATTGCTTACCTGGTCAACTCTATCAGTTTGTACTCCAAACTTGCCACCAAACCCTTTCACCGAATCCACTTGGGAGCAATGCTTAGAAAGTTTGGATTGATATTCATGTCCAACAGCTGACTAAAAGAAATTGGTAAGTTCAGAAACAGCAGTTCTATACAGTTCTGTATGTAAGAGAAAACACTGCACCAAGTAACCTGAGGATAAGTTTTGCTACCAACACACATCACTGCTGCTCCTCCTGTTGCAATTAACTTCTCTGGAAATTCCCACTCCCTTGAGAAGTCTTTACAGGACTGTCATCATGCTACCTATAGAGCCTAGGCAAGGGAAGTGCCAAGAGTCTGACAGCAATGACTATGTTTTATCAATACTATTTTATGCACTGCATTTGTACCTCAAAAGCAGAGGAAGGAAAACAAGAATAATATAGATAAAGTAAGTTCCAGATAAAATCCACAGCCTTGTGTTTAGGCACATAGCTACACATCTGTTTTAGCTGACATGAGACTTCAACCACATACAGCTACAGCTCTGTGTTCTGCAGTCATGCTTTTAGGGAGGCTCCCGTATCTTCTGCACCAACCAGAATTAGGCAGCTTCCCTCTGCACTTTCTCCTCTCTTGCAAAACGGCATCACAACATCAAGTGCTGTGTCCACATCTAGAGCTCCTTGTGCCAAAGGCATCCCAGCCCTGCAGCTTCCAGCCTGAGCCTGGCCCTGGAACTCACAGCTGCAGCACACTGACTGACTTCAGGCAAGACACAAGGAGATGTAATTACACACCTGAAAGTACATCCGGACAGTGTTTGCTAGTGTTACACTAACCTAGTGCTCAGAAACCCTCCCAGCTCCTGGAATGGATGCTAGAGCCTCACACCTTCAGGGTGCTACATAACACAGCAAAAATGCCTTTTTCCTGTCCACTGCCAAAACTGGGCACTGGCCAGAGCAACTTGCAGTATGCCAGTTTAACCTAAGATTTGCTTACTTTGTGTCACACAACTGGACCAAGGTGAATTCATTTGTGGACATAAGGTGTCTAGACACCTAAGTAAGGTGGATTTTACAGTATTTGCTTTTTTTCTTCCACACAGGTACAGGAGGGAAGATTTCCAGCAGGTAGGAAAGCAAAATATTACCACACATAATGGCTGAAGTAATTGCCAGGTAACAGAACAAGGATGTCAATAATAGGACATTACTTTAACTTACAAGCATTACAAAAGCTCCTTTCTTTTCCTGACTGAAACAGTCATACTCTTGTTCATTTTGCAGGTGTTCTGTAGTAGAACAACTGTTAAATCTGACAGAAAAGGCTCCCACCTCCCTTTATTCTTCCCATTATATTTATGGAAAACATGATGCTCTGAAAATTCTGGGGTTTATGTGGTTTTACATGATCTCTCCTTTGTTATACCAGTTGAGGTAGGTAAAACTTAAACATGTTGGTTTTCTTGTGGCACCAGAACTTTCTGTATTTCACCAAATACCAAGCAGGACAGCACAGCCCTTTTTAGGGAAGACAAAAAGGTTTTTCTTGAAAATCTGTATTTCAGAGTAAAATATCCTCATTACAATACTCTGCTACATTTCAAATCAGTTCTGGAGGTTTGGCAGTCAGAGTGATGTAACTGTTCATTTGAAGTCAGCATCAAGGCTCTCTCTGACCTAAATGCAGCAAAACCTGTACCAGGACAACATTGCAGTAACCCTCCCTTACTTCAGGTGAGCCAAACCTTCATACTAGACACCTGCACAGAGCCACAGATACCTGTGAAGGAGAGATCTCAATCACAGGGTTTTTGAACTATAGTTACATGGTAGAAAGGCTTATTAAAAAATAAATTATAAACACCTCCTGCCACCAGTATCACTCAGATGGGCGTGACAATGTTTCTGGCCTACAGGAAACAGTGCTTACTTTTGTTTCTTTCTTTTTCCCCATGGACACAGGTGAGGGATAAATTGCTGACACTAGAGAGCAGCTGCAAAACAGGCCTGATGGTTGAATTGGCTCAGCAGTTCCTTTCCCAGATTCAAAGGTTAGGTTAGCTGTTTACAAAGGCCCATTGAGAATTATACAACAATTAACTCTGGGTGCCAAATTACTAGAAACCCAGAAAGCAAATAAAGCAAGAAAATAAAATGTTCTTACTCAGGAAACAGTTTAGTTCTTATTGTAACAGAGTACATGAAAGAAAGTAGTCAGAAGTTGATATGCCTAATTATCACATGGCTAAAGGAATTACCTTAAGAACTATAATTTCTTTTAACACTGTAATGTAAACAGCCATCAATTCCTTATACAAAGCATTACCATCTCACTGAAGTACAGTGACACTTTAAACACATGGATTATTTGTCACTGGTGACAGTTTACCACTGTTTAAGAGAGCTGCCCTCTAATTTAAAAGCAGCAGCACACCCCTTCCCTCATTCTTTGGCAATCTCTATATGCACAGAAGAGCTGGCACTGCACTGAAATAAGAGGATAATATTGGATTTATTTATGCATGAAGTGCTTTGTAAATTTAGAAATATACTTTTAGACACTTGAATCTTAACTCCAGGGGATTCCACTCAGGACTTGCTCCAAAGACAGAGCAAGCATCAAACAAAACCATGTGGGGCCACTGCACATCCCAGAGCAAAGCTGGAACAAACTTAACTCACATCTAGAGTGGTGCTGGCCACAGGCAAGGCAAGGCTTACCACACCATCCCAGGGGAGCCTCCTTCACACTTACTTTATCCATTCGATCTTGCTCAACTCCAAATTTCCCTCCATAGCCATGGGAAGCTTTTGGTCCTGTTTGAAGCTCCTTCTCTTTGAGGTTCTGGTGTTCTTGGAATACATTCTCTCTCAGCTGATGAATACTTTAAAAGACAGATAATGAAGCAGCAAGTTTTACTAAGAAAGTTCCAGCAGACAACTTCAAAAAGATGCAAAACTTGACCAAAATATTATCTTAATTAGAAGTTAGCAACTTGTATTTTTCAAGTCTTTCCCATTTTTACAGTGGACAAAAGACTTCATTGTACTTTGAGAAACAGGATTTGTCCCACTGCAAAACACTGTCTAAAGAACACCCTGTTGGTTTGAAGACTAGCATGGAAGGGCATTTGACCACCTGAAGAATCAGTTACCTAGAACTGATATGTGCCTGAAACATATCTTTCTCCTCATGTCTTAATTTAAATTCTTTCCAATTTATTTGGTTGACAACTTTTCAGAACAGGGATCATCTCTTGTCATACAGTCCCTATGGTAACAGGACTAATTCTAACTGAGCAGATCACTTCCCAAAGTGATCCCTTGCAATATGCAGAGATTGAACTTACAGCAGTGCAGGCTACATACAGGAAGCATAAACCAAAGTGGTAATCTGTACCTTAAACACTTCCCACCCGAGTTTAAAGCTTCCTCAGGCAGAATTCAGCCAGAAGGTGTCCCCACTGCACTCCAGACAGGGCAGAGGAACACTGAGCCCTGAAGGAACCACAGTTCAGGTTCCCTCAGGAGTGTCTGCAACACTCATGACATTTATTCTTAGCTTATTACCACGAGGGCTGCTCATGGTAATACACAATACCAAAATCAACATCACCATCACATTGCCTAAACCAGCTTTTTTAAGGCACTTTTTGTAAGTACCACCAGATTAATTTCTCTTTCACATAGTTCTTTGTAATGCACACATCTGCATTCCTACCAGAGAGCTCAATTTGTTACTTTGCCTGATTTTTTTAATGAATTTGGTAGCAGTTTTATAAACAAAACCTAAGGATTAAGAGACCAAATGTATCCTTAAAGTACTGAACTGGAGCTGCTCAGATCACCCAACAGAACCTTCTCCCCTAGCACTATTGCCTCTTGCACCAGAACAAAGAAACTTTCCAGACAAAGAGGCAAGAAAAATAACATTTCCAGTGACAAAGAAAGATTTAAGAGTCTCTACACCATATTTCTGGTCTTAATTTCAGATCTGAAGATAGAGACACATTTGGAAGACCAGCAATCTGGCAAATAATCAATCTTCTACAGGGACTCTTGTTTTAATTATGAAGACACAAGTAACTGAGAACATGAGTTGATTAAAAGTCGCCTGGGACTGTGACTATTAATAAATTTCACAAGAGAGCTGCTTTACTTGATGTGCTCTTGATGGCCAGATCCATTCACAGTTTTCGCTCCCCAGCGCTGTTCTTTCTCACTCACATCATTCTGTGAAGGACACAAGGAAAAAAAGTTAAAAACCCCAAAGAAATCACTAGTCATCTGCACTTTAGAGCCCACAGAAAAGCCTTCAGCAGACAGTGAGATCAGAAGAGTTAAAAAAGCAGCAACTTTCACCTTCACTTTCACTTTACTTCCAGGAACATGCTCCTATCAGTTTATCCTGTGGGACACAGCCCCAAGCCTGAGGAGTTACTCTTTAACATGACATGTACCACACTCCTGCTGAAAATCAGGAGAAAAGTCATACCACAAAGTCTGGATCCGTCTCCCAGTCATCAGCTCCGTCATCCTGATTGACAGAAACGGTGTGGCCTGCAGTAGCCTTCCACATCTGCAACACCATCAGAAGAAGGAGGTCACACTCCAGTCATATGTCAACTCATTTTACATCATGAATAAGCTGATGGAGATGCAACCCAAAATTCCCAATAATGCATGTTATTTAACCACAAAGTCTGGATCCGTCTCCCAGTCATCAGCTCCGTCATCCTGATTGACAGAAACGGTGTGGCCTGCAGTAGCCTTCCACATCTGCAACACCATCAGAAGAAGGAGGTCACACTCCAGTCATATGTCAACTCATTTTACATCATGAATAAGCTGATGGAGATGCAACCCAAAATTCCCAATAATGCATGTTATTTAACCACATCACCAGAAGCTGAATTTGCAGTGAAAAGAGGACCATTGGCCCTCAGTTTGTATTCTCAAGCTGGTCTGAAATTTCAAGCTTTCCTATTTGCACTGCAAAGAGCTTGTGAGCAATCACTGACATGATTTCAAAGAGAACAAAGTCGTCTTTCCTTGCTCAAATTAACATATGTCTTTTCTTCATTCACTGCACTGAAAGACTTCTCCTCCAACAGCTCTCCAAGCCAACATCCACTTCCAAAGAGTGCTGCTAATTCTGGATCCTGTGCATACAGTTAAGGTGTGGGAATAAATGGGCTTTTTTTCCCCAGCCATTAGTAATGATGAGCACAACACTGTTCTTTAGGTTGTATAACCTGCATTATACCAGCACACCCTCCTCTGTTGTGTAATGAGTTTTCAGCATGACAACAGAAATCCAAACAACTGTAAGACTTTGCACACACTCCAGACATAAGTCCAGCAACAGAGAACATGAATTTCTGTGTTTCTCAGGTAATCCCTTGTGAGACACATACACAAACTCAGCATCTTGTCTGACTTTCAGGAGAAACAGAGGGTGAGTGCTCCAGTACTGACAGCAGGAACCAAGACTCATGAAAAGGCAAGCAATGGCAACTAGAAGCAACACCCAGCATTTTGAGGAGGCTAATGATTTGGGGCATCTCACTTTCTGGAAACCTTATCTCCCATGGAGTATCAAGTTGGATGTTTTTAATTAACACTTTTGAACGTGACTAGTGAGCAGAATTCCTGACCTGCCTGGAGCTAGTGGCTGTATTTTACACCCTTTATTCTAGGTAAATCAAAACAAATCCTAAAAAGCAAAAGTACACCATCAAAACCCAAGCCTTTTGTTCTCCCAGCTTTTTCAGACATGCAAGTTAGAGAAAGAACTTCATTTTTCTTTGCTATTCTACCAGAGTTCAGTTTTTTAACAAGCCATCATTCTGTTCACTTACCTTTATCTTCCTAATTAAGAATACATTATAAGGATGATTATCCCAGACTATTTAATTCACACTAGCATAATTCAGTAGGTGGAATGAAAAACTCTCTTTTAAATGCATAACTAATAATCCATGGCTAAAGTGCACAGCTCATTCTGCCAGGCTTGATCTACAGCCTGACAGAATGAGCTGATGAGCCAGTTTTATGGAGCACTTCAGAAATTTCAGGACTGGTAATGTGAATGAGAACAACTGAAAAACTGATAGTCAACACCAAGGTAAGCAAATGATGGAGCAGCCCAGAACGAGGGTGTAAAGGCAGCACAGATGACATCCTAACAAAGTACTGGTATGTTCCTCCTTATGCTTCTTCAGGACTCCCATTTCCACATTCCTCTGGCAATTAAGGAATTAGTAATACCCAGAAAACCTGTGAGACTACAGGTTTATACCACAAACCTTTGGAACACTGGTATTTATCAGTGTCCTTAGAACATCCTGTCTAAAGCCTTCTCTCATGTGATCATGTCTCAGGTTTTCCTACTCAAACCTAATCTCTCACCACAGAAAATAAAAACTTTGGAAAGCAAAACCAAACCAGCTCAATGATGAAATTCAACGTGAGGTTCAAGTTCTAACTTTGTACCTTCCAAGAGGGAAGGTTTGCTCCCACCCTGTCCACCCCTCTGTGCTCTACAAGCTGTGGAAGATGTTTAGAAGGCGAATTCAGCTGATAAGAGCTGAAGTGTAGGTAGGTATGTGCATGGAGACTCTGTATTTTCATGCAAACACAACTTTTTTTCCCTCAAGTACTCAATTCACACATTCACTCGATTGTTTTGTTCATTCAGCTGCGCTTGGGCATTTCAAGGAACAAAAGCTGGATCCTTCAGAGTAGATTTCATTGCTTCCTCCTCGAGCTCTCACAAACAATAGCGCAGGAGAGAAGGATTTCACACGCACACCCATACAGAATGCAGAACCCCCAGTCTCTTTCTAAGTTATGCGCATAAACGCCAACATTTTTCCACCGTATTCCACGAAGTGGATTACAAAAGAGAGCGGAGCAGCCCAGTGACAAGGACCTCAGCTAACAGGGACAAGCCTGGTTTCTGCAGCAGCATCGATTCCAGAGCAGAAGGAGCAGAAACACGATCTATTTATGACTCACTGACTCACACGGTCAAATTTCTGAAGGAAAAAGAAAACGCCAAGGTTCAAACGCAAACCCAGACTCGATACACGCTGCGGATTCCTCCGTCCAGCCTCGCTCCTCTCCACTGCTATGACTAATCCGCACACACATCATCCTTCCCAGCACCTTTAGCGGCGCCTCGGCAGCTCCTCTCTGCCCGGGCCCAGGGAGCAGCTCCCGCGGGGAGCACAGGGAGACTCCGCGGCTCTACCCCCGGCGAGGGGAGCGAGAGCAGCTCCGCGGCTGGACGGGCACA